ACAAAGTCGACGTACGACCAGGTTTGCAGACGTGGCCTCAATATTGTTCAACAGTGAGCTACACCTATTCCCGTGGTTTGCACTCCATGTCGATGAATAAATTTCGGTCATCAGTATGACGGTTAGCAGCGGCAAGCACTTGGGCGGAAAAGTGTATCGTAGCATTTCGCAAACATGACACTTCGATTAACCGGAATGATGTGTATGCTTCACTATGTGGATGTGGTGAATTGAAAACTACAATTCTGAATGTGAGATTAAAAACTATTCATCTACTAATGAGCAGGTAAAGAAGAATCAAAGTTGTGAATACTCAATCTATGGTCCGTCGTCATGACGAATCGCTATCGGTGAGAAACAAGGTTGCTGTTATTGCTAATACGTAACCGATGCATTTGAAACGGTTGGTTTTGAGAGTCGCTCGCAGGTTCACCTACTTGGTGCGCCGAAACTGTTTTTACCTTACACACGAGAAGCTCTGAATTATTTTAGACCATTTTACCACCTTGAACGACAAACTTTCTCAACGTCTCGACTCTTTTTTACCAAACTGGCCGGCTCTGCTTATGAGAAAAAGGTTACTTGTAGATGCATTTTTCATTTACCATATTGTATGATGATCAATTGGAGAGGGAAAAAACATGCCTTATCTACTTGGTTCCGGGCATTTAACGGCATATACGGATTCAATTTTTATGGTATTCATCCCAATAGTTCACAAGCTACCATTTTATTGTTGGACTAATCAGAGGTTGAAAATACACCGCCCAATTGTCCCCGGTGCTTAGGGAAGCTGGATTCTCTATTGGGGGTCTGCCCTATTCTCTATATACCAATAGTTGAGAAAAGGCAATTTATTAATTTCTGGTTTGTGAACTTCTTGGTCATCAACCCTAACCTGATTACTTCCTTATGAATCGATGCGGTGATTCTATGCTTCTATTTAGTGATAACTTACATACTGTCCAGAAATCATTTAGAACCATAACAGCGCACCGGTTTCGTTTAATACAGACACATTACCTCCAGATGAACATCGTTCAATCTGGAAAAGCTATCCTCCTATAAGAACATCCATGCATACGCCCTAAGACAGTGTGACCCGCGCGAGAATGTCTTCAGGTTAGGAAGCACTCTGAAAAACAAGGTTGCATTGTTGCGTGAAGGCGCTGTCTGTTTCGCATGAAGCTAACACTTGTCCGCACACCATGCATTTCCCGAAATTCCGCGCTGAGCCGCGGTGCGTTTTTAGCATGGCTGGCAAACTGTTAGACGTTTCAATATATCGCTGTCCTGTTGGCCATCATCATCATTACACACCTTAGCTAGAGGTGGAAAACACCTCAGCTACTGTGCCGTAATACATAAGAAAAGAAAAAGCAACTACCGGTGCACGCCAGCTGAGCTACCAGTAACGGATGGACATCGTTCCGGAAAGCTACCAGCCGGTTATTATGCAGCAAAACAATTATTATGCAATATTTCTATTATGTTAAAAAATTAGATCGTAGTTGGAGGTTAGACTAGGAGGGATGGGGTGGGACATAGAAACACACAACACGAACGTCACTGAGGTCGGTTCCTAGCCATGTCAGCAAGTGTATCCAACCAAACGTGCTCATCGTATTGCGGACCCCAAGCAGCGAGCCGAGAGGCTCTAACCAAGGCCAATGTCGAAGTAAAGGCCTTCATTGCTCTAGACCAAATCATCGCTTGGCTACCTCTCCTCTGCTTCCATCCACACCAGCGAAGCGCAAACAACGCACTTCGTGGAAATCGGTGGATTAGCATGCGCAACACCTGGCCGAGACATCGGAGCCCCGTGCGTAAAATAACGATGCTGAGCAGTTCATTTCCTCTTCCTGTGTCATAAACAAGGCGTCAAATACGCTCATTGCTCACACCGTGTTCCCACCAGATATAAGGCAAGCTGCAAAGGCACCGGTGGTCGAGCTTAACTAGCCTCCTTATGTCCGTTGATCTAATGGGCCAAGTTTCACAGCCGTAAAGGAGAGTTGAACAGACAGCCGCATTGTACACTCCACCCTTCAAAACGTGAGTGATGTCACGCCGGCGTCATAGGTGGTGAAGGTTATCAACATCACCTCGAGCTTTTGCTATACGGTTCGTGATCTCGTCTTCGATCCAAGGGCGCTAATACAGCTTCCCAAGTAGTTTACTTTTTGAACGACTTCTAGCTGATCCCCACCAAGGGTCAGCGCAAGAGGCGGTCCCTGCCAATCTTGGAGGGAAGCTTAGCATTTCGAGGGTGCAAAGCATAGCCCGAAACGGGTAACAGCCTGTGCCGCTTGGCACATTTGCGAGCTGTCACAGATGAGGGCAATACCGTCAGCATATTCCAAGGCAAGAAGTCGTTCGCCTGGGAGCAGCTCCACTCCTTCTAAGTCGTGTTCTGTGAACGTGAACTCCATGACTTCGTCAATTGCGAAGTTGAAGAGGAAAGGCGACAGCGGGCATACCTGTTTTACACCACTGGAGATATTGAAGGGTGACGATAACTTACCGTAAACCCTCGCTCTGTCCGAGCTACGCACGTATAATACTCGGATGATATTTACTTATTTCTCGGACACACCCTTCCTGAGTTGACAGTCCCAAAAGGCACATCGATCCACTGAATCGAAGATACATTTGATATCGAGGGACACGACAGAGGTAGGCCGCCAATATATGTTACGGTGCTCCAACAATTGACGCAAAGTGAAGTTGTGGTCGATGCAGCCTCGACCTCGACGAAACGCGGTTTGCTCTTCACGAATCTGGCTTTCACGAGTGGAAGTCCATCTGTGAGGGATGACAAAAGCAAGCAATTTGGAGGCGATAGTGATCAGGCTGATTCCTTTGTAGCTGCCGCATTCCGATCGTGAGCCTCCCTTGAAAATTGGGACTATGACGGAGCGGCTCCAATCTGTCGCGACACTTTCCTGTTCCCACAGTTTCATGAGTACTTAGTGTAAATCATCAACCATATCCGAACCCACGAATTTGAAGAGGCCTGAAAGGAGATCATCTGGTTCCACGGCTTTATTCAACTTCAGGAGTCTGATCTCAAGTTCGACTTCTGAGCGAGAGGGCGGATCCAAAGGGACAGCCCTCGGAGCAGGGCGATCATTTGCCGGTGAGTAATCTGACAATTCTGACCGACTAAATTGCCTTTCAAACTGCTCAGCCCAACGCTCCAAGTGTTTGACAAATTGTGGATAGGCTGTCCACTCTCGCCACGTATAGTTTCACTAACACGAGGTCTTATGCTGCCCGTTTCCCGTATCAGACGGATGGTTACCATGGGCATTGGCCATTTCCATATCTGACGCACGACGAGATTACCAAGATTCGCGGTCTCTCTTCAGGCTAGCATGGAGTTTTGCCCGGAGGTTTTTGCGAGTCTCATTGTGTTCGCTTACAGCCGGTGTGCCGTCTAGCATCGACAAGTCCCAGAGACTGCGAAGAAACCCAATGTCCATGTTGTCTGTTAGACTTACCACATGAGGATTTGCCTGCTGTTAGTAGGTCTCGTGTACATGCGACTAGTGACCATCATTTGTATTCACCGGGGATCACAAAGCGAGCCCAGAGCTCGAGTTTTGCAGGCGGGTTTCCGATAAGCAGCAGATATCGATTGAGAGGACCCAATGTTCAGTAAGTACTGCCTGTTGACCGATCTTTAACAATGCACGTACATTGAGGCATGCCAATCTGAGTGATGATCGGGGCTCCAAACAGAAGCCAGTGAACTGGGCTTGACTACTTGGTTAGATATGGGCTTGTCGATAGGGTAAGAATGACGCTTCGCGTTTGCATGTGAGTTGAAACATAAAGATAAACCTTTATCCAAGCAAGTGGGGGGACAAGTATTGGAGGTTTAAAACAGAGGGGTAAAAGTGAGGCTGGAACGAAACGGTAAGGATGAAAAAGCGCAAGTAGGGGAGTAAAAAGATGGGAGGGTTTGAGTAGTAGTATCCAAACCACTATCCACCCTGTTTGATGCAGCAGATAGGTCGCTATTTATTATTCTCTGCGACGGCCAGAACATCAAGAAATCGTTTAAGGAAAGGTTCATAGTCCTTTAGGGGCTTTTACTTATCTCCGCTGATCTATCTGACGTAATGCTTCCGTTGAGCTATGGGGCTGCGCACACGTCGACGCCTAGGGAGTCCCTGTAGGTTCGCCAGGAATTAGTTTCTCTTGGCTACACTGCCATGTACTTCTGCTTACGAGATATTTTCTCTACTTTTGGGTATATGGTAATGCTTTCGATTCGTTTCCGCGAGGTTGTTGAACTGATTGATCTATTTCCCGTAGCCTATCGATTAAGTTTGTACACCTAAGCATGAACGACTGACTGTGCAGGTGAGGCTAAACAGACGACTTATGGTGTTATGATTTGTTCCTCTTCTGTGTCTCCTCTGCACAGCTTCGCTTACGAGTCTCATTAGAACGGAATTGTCAAACGTCTAATGTTTGCCGGAGGACTTCAAACCGTATGTTTTTCGTTAGCGAACATAAAATTTAAGACATCTAATTCAGTCACTGTGTTTAATCTTGCATGTGAAATACCAGTTAACCAACGAATAAAGCTTGTGTTTTGGCCCTAGTTTACTTGTTGAGTGGCTGAAACCTTTAGCTAGCGTATTCTTGGGTCTCCTGCGAGCAGAAGGCGGCCGTACGCTCGTATATGTAAGCCGTTCATAGCACAAGCTGGACGACAGTCTAGTGCCGATAATTTTTAGTGTCTGTACTTGTCATGATGGCGCCGCATCACCTGGATGCCCTGAGGTATCCACAAATTTCCCTGTTGTTTCTCATTTCTGGGTTTGAGTGTTGACCAGTGGGGACAAGATAAATTAATTGCTGGCAACCCTCCTGACCATCAACAGATTCTAGAAGCAACCTCGTCCCTTGACCCATCAAGTTTACTCGATTATTGATTCCCAATGTAATTGTCAGAGATTGTGCGAAAAACTTTATTTCCATTGCAGAGGTACAGGAAGAGAAATGTGCAGAATCTGCTAGAAACTCAGTGGAAACCATATTTCACACGGTACCTTACGGTAAGTCACCATAGCTTGCTTCTATCCGTCAACCTTATAACATTGAGCTGCAGCAATATGAGTGCATCCTGTCCTTTGAGGTGATAGCCTGAACAAAGAAACGCAACTGTGTCTCAACAAAACCAATAAGACCGCTCAATTTGTTGGTTTTTCGATTAGTTACTCCTGTGCAAGAACGAAAAAGAGAGTTGCGAGCAAATGGTTGACAGCTATGTCTACTCTCGATGATGTGCGCACTACGCAGAATCCCGCCGAACACTTATGGCCACGGACAACTGCGCTTATTTTCGGTTTTGTGTTCGTTGGTGGGCTAGTTTTCGGCTCATTCTTAAGCCATATCGGTGCAGAGTATAGCACCATGCCATACGGCTAGAGAACTGAGTGGATGCTTTACTTTTTTTTAGCTTAGCAATAACTAATTGCCCCCTTCTCCCACCCCAGCTCGTCTATCACCACCCAACTCCTTCAGTGTGAAATATTTGCCGATAAACTCCTTCCCGGATCTACCCACTCGACATCGTTCTCTGTTCGAGGGTGAATCATCTGGCCTGTTAGATGTGGTGTATATTGGATGTAGCCTAGCCCATCTGCTGAACAGCCCAAAGCTTCAGATTCACTCAGAACCCTTGTATGAGTCAAAGGACAACCAGCGTGAAAAGGTGGTGGACCCAGACAACGGAACGCCCTACGGTGTCAATGGACTACTCAGTATCCTCAAAGAGAAATCAATGCTTGTTGTTGAGTCAGTTCTGTGAGTGCGATTTTGTTGATTTTTACAGAATTTAGCTTCTACTTGGTAGCATAAAAATAACTCTGTTCTAATCGTCATAAGTGCATTTATAATCAATGATTTTCACTGCCACATCCAGTCGTTATGTACACTTGCTAATGCTGTGTAAGCTTGGTGACAGCTCCAGACCCTGGGAGTAGTTGTCCATCCATCTCCACGATCGACACCTTGGAAGGGCCTACGAAAACTCATTAGTTCCATTCAGGGACACCGAGATTCGTTAGCGACAACGAACCGTGGTTTGGTGACCCAAATGGCTTAGCATATCGACTACATTCCCAACAGACGTAGACGCTGTAGCTAAGCTAACTCGGGATGTGTGTTACATAACCATTATTTAACGAACACCGATCACCACCAACTAGGTTGCTCCTCACTGATAGGTCACCACTTAAAATTATCCACAATATACCCGGTTGAAATGCCGCCAGAACTTTTCCTCTGTTCGAGTATCAGAACAGTTGAATGTTCTTCCGAATTCTGTGCTCTCCAGTCTTACGTTAGCTGATTTCAGAATTCGATTTGATGATGCAGCGCTGCACCTGCATTCATGACTTAACCCAAGTTACTGAGATTCGGGACGACACCCGGAATTGTGTGTACATTTGCAAACCACGGTGAGTACACCAATATGCGCTAGTTTAATGGATACATTCCGTTTTTGGTCGAACTCGTCTACTGCGGAGTTTGCTAAACATTTCCCTTTTTATTCGTGATAAATCCATCTTTCCTGACGACTGCGTGCGGAAGGCTTTGAAAGAGTGGTGATGAGCACGTGCTAACGGGTTTGTGGTGACCCAATTCTAACATAGTGCCAGCTGGAGGGTCAGTGTCCCCGTTTGTCGTAAACGAGACAAAGAACATGTTTGCTCTGAATGTTAACACGTTCATACGATGATAGCACATCGGCATGACCCATTTCAATCTGACTGTTATTCAGGCGTTCGGGACATTTCTATGAGGAAAATCTACGTATGTTCGTTGTCGTCCGATTTTTCCCATGTAGTGTTTAGAGTGGTAACGAAATGGAATAACGGAATTATTACAAGTAAAAATCTAAATGATTGACAAATTCCGTAGAATCGAAGCGCAAAAGCAACATATGATCGCTTTGGAAGAATGTGGCGCATTTCGGTGTACTCAGCTTAGAGTTCAGCCTGTGCACACTGGTTAATTACGTTATGCCGTGTCCCAGTAACTTGGGTGGACTCATGTGAAGTAAATCAATCGATCAATCCACTCAATAATAGTAGTACATTAGCCATTTGGACTGGTACTTCGCTGCCATACAACCATAATGATGTACGAAACGAAGAGTAATAAGAGGGAGAGAATGAGGACTTACCAGAAAACTTTAATGACCTAAGCAAACATTCAGGATCAAGGTGCCTACACCTTGTCTAGACAACATACCGTCACAAACAGCTGTCTATCGTGCAAAGATAAGGCGACATCGGCGAGACAACCTCTTTACGGCTTTCACCACCCGGCGTCATCATCAGTCATTACCCCGCAGATAACTCAGCATTAAGCACCCTCTAAACAGACAGTCCGACTAGGAGACGGCAGCAGACGCGCCACTGGTCAATGATATATTGCGGATAAAAAAAGCCGAAGCTTAACATGTCCCGCCGAATGATCTGTTTGGGGTGAGCAAAATAAAGGTAAAAATAGCAATAGGAAATAGTGAACAACTGCAAATTGCCAACTTGCCGATTACAGCGCTCCCGTCCGTTTCGGTACTATCCAGGTTTATCGTGTGTGGTTTCCAGACAAAAATGAAGGTGGGTTGGTTTCTTTTTGTTCTTTTTTGCTGTTTATATGGGTCGTTTGTATTACGTGATATGGTGTAGTATGGCCAGTGCACCATCGACACGTGCTTTGAACACGGTTAACGTGGGGGCTGAAATAACAGCTTCTGAGAGGGTATTCCACGTGTGGCAAACACGCAGCGAGAAGAAGTTTCTTCGACACTCCAACCGACTGCATTGTTCTGCCAATTTGAGATGATGACCTCTCAGATGGTTGTTGTGACTCAGCTTCAATAAGTGATGGCAGGGGTGATTAGTGTTGTTTACTAAGTGGTAAGCCACGATTAAGTTAGCAACAAACGGCGATAAGGTCCACTGAAAATGCCAAGCTCTCTGAGACGCTGTTCGTATGATAAGTGGCGTAACCTCAACCTTTTCGATAGCCCGACGTTGTGGAAGCTCCAAGGTCGTGAGACCCCGCTTTAGCCATAGGTGGCAGGCTTGAATTGCATATACAACGTGCTGGCGCATAGTCGAGAATAAAATATTTATTTATTTATTTATTTATTTGGCGGACAATCGACGGTTCGAGTTGCTCGAAAGCTCTCCGTAAAAGCTCCACGATTTGGATCTCCTTCTTCGATGCTTTTTGGACTGTTCCGAGCACCCGAGATCTTGGACCAACACACTAAGATCCTTTTTGAGAGAACAATGTTGCAGATCCTGGTCCCCCAGCTTATATGTGTGAACCATCCGGTGTGTTAAATAGAGCACTCGACATTTAGCCACATTGAAGAGAAGTCGATTTTGGACCGACCCTCCATAACTCTTGTCAACTTCGACTTAAAGCTGGATACGGTCTTCTGGATATTTTTGTTCGTCGCAATCAGCCGAAAAGTCAGATATGTCGACCAGCTGTCCGGAAAAGCACCAGACGGCCGTTTCGCCCTATTGGGGCTCATCAGTGGTGCGCATCCTTCGGCCCTCTGCGGAGGATCGAACCCATGACTGCTAGTGGCTCTTGCCAACTAGCTGGTCGACATATCTGAATTGTCGGCTGATTGCGATGAACAAAAATACTCACCAAAATCCTTCCATTCATAAGTAATACCAATTCGCCCGTACGGATTCCACAAAATGCTATGTCGATTCATAGCTGCCGTAACCGGGAAGTCCTGACGCTGGAAGCCCGACCGCTGTCATCTGCATGGCAGGTGCCTGCATGGCAGTGGAGGATGCGTCGGGCTATATCGCATTTAGCTAACAATTCATGATAGCCAGATACCGTCCTCCATGGCGCAGTTGCATAAGCTGCGGGCTAGTTGGCAAGAGCCACTAGCAGTCATGGGTTCGATCCTCCGCAGAGGGCCGAAGGATGCGCACCACTGATGAGCCCCAATAGGGCGAAACGGCCATCTGGTGCTTTTCCGGATAGCTGGTCGACATATCTGAATTGTCGGCTGATTGCGACGAACAAAAATACTCACCAAAATCCTTCCATTCATAAGTAATACGGTCTTCTGGAGCTCTGATCACTCGCCAAACGTTGATGTCGTTGGAGTAGAGTAAACCGTTTGACGCAATTTGACTCACTAAATCGTTTATGAAGACCAAGAATAGACGGGTCCCCAGTACCGAACCCTGTGGTACTCCGCATTCAACGTGAATTGGGTCTGAACTGGATTCACATACTCTCACATCTAGACCCCTGTGCGAGAAAAAATTGCAGGTCCACCCGAGGAGAGAGTCCCCAATGCCACATCCTTGAAGTTTGGCGAGTAAGATAAGATGGTTCAACCGTTCGAATCAAGGTCGAAATCAAGGTAAGCCACGTCAACTCCTGCACCAGGATCCACAGTTTCGGTCCAGCCGTCTTGTGCTAACAATAGGTTGGTTGTGCGCGACCGATTATGGTGGAAGCCGTGTTGCTGTTGAGCAATGTAACCAAAGTCGTCAACTTAAAACACCAGTGCGTCGGCAATGATAGATCCATAACTACTGAAAGAACTGGCAGTAGAGTCACTGGTCGATAATTAGCTGGTTCCTCCCTTTGTAAATGGGAGTTACTATCCCCGGTTTCTACCTTGCAGGAACGTGCCGCTCGTCAAGGCAGTGCCGGAACAGCCGCGTCAAAGGTTCAGCCAAGATCGCAGCCGCCACAGCAAGCGTCTTTGGGCGCATGTCGTCAATTCCTGGATGCGCTTGTAAACGCATGGATAGCAGCTTTCTCCTCACGATGTCTGCCGTAAAGTTTCTGAGTGGGTCCTGGTGTGAACACCATAGATTCCAAAGATTCAGGAGACCACGGCATGAAATGAAACCTTGGTGCATATTGTTGTTGCAGAGTATTAGACGCTTCTTTAGTAGTCCGAGTTCGACCATCCGCTGTTTGAAGAGGGGAAAATCCACTTTTTACCTTGCGGAGGCCATTCACGGGCTTGTACAGAAGCTTAGGATTTGAAATTAATCGCTCAGCTAAAGCATGTTGATAAGTTACTTTGCCCTCGTTCACGACTTGGGTACAGTGGTTACGGTGAACAATCTAGGCCTTCCAGGTACTCGGACTCGGATCGGTTTTGTGGGTATACCACGCCGCGTTGCGCATCACCATACGTTTGCGTGTCCTACTCCGTATAAACGACGCCATGTTTCTCGAATCGATAGTCTTGGTTTCCGGTGCTCCACTAACCAGGCAATATCGGGTGCATCCTGGGTTAGGAAACTCCAGTCGGTCGCTTCAAAGAGTCGGGTTTAAGAGTCGCAACTAGTCATAGTTTGCGTCGGTTGAGTTCTGTCCTCGACATATACAGCATAACAAGTGTACATTAAATGCTGAGTCACATGCTCATTGCGACCTAGAGGAGTATCGATTGTCACTCTCTCGAGCATCAGTTCGTCATTGGTGAATATTTGGTCCAATGTGGATGGCCTGTTGATTCCCCTGAATCTGGTGGGCGAAGTGACGTGGTCATAAAGCGGAAAGTCCGGGACAAGATCTTGCACGTCTGCTTTGAATTGTTCCCCTGATGTGGCCTGGGATTCTAGCGCATTTAAGTTGAAATCGCCTGAGACTAGTATGTGACTGTACTTCTTGTTTATCACCTGTCTCAACGCAGCCACCAAGTTGCAGCCTATCTCAGGTGTAGACGATGGCGGGCGGTAAACAACAGCTACTAGGGCAAGATCGTTCCGTCTCAGCCAGAAGCTGCA